GGTCAAAAATCAGAACATTTCTTTCAGCACCAACCTACAAGCAAAAACACGATACCTTGAGAATCTCTTCATTGTAGAATATTCTAAATGACAGCTACAATTATAGTTTTTCAAATACTTAACTGCACATCTACATATTTGACATTGCCAAGTACAAGCAGTTGACCAACGTATCTACTGGATCAAGTAGGGATGACAAACACTTCATCTATATTTCAGAGATAGTAGGATGCAGATGCTGGGGAATCAGAGATAACAAGGTGTAGAGCTGGATGAACACAGCAGGCAAGCTGACGTTTTAGGCCTAGACTCTTCAGAAATGCATTTCTGAAGGGTCTAGACCCAAAACGTCAGCTTTCCTGCTCCTCTGCTGCTGCGTTCATCCAGCTCTACACCTTGTTATTTCTGCTTCATCTATGTAGCAGGGTGCAGTAACATTGCTACAGATGACAATTCCAGAGGTACAGATGCAAGATAAAGCCTGAGAAAATTTAGAACTGAAGTTTCCTTTTACTAAAAGCTAAAGGCCCAATGTTTCAGATGGGACTTACACCTCAATGAATCAGACATTTCATTTTGTAGAAACATTTCCAGTTAATTGTGATCAATGAGTTTATTCTACCAGCAAATTTAAGTGCCAAGTGAATTATTAACAGTCAACATCCTTGCTTTTCCTCCACTTGAGCACTAAGGCTACAAAGTTATTCAATACCACATACCTTCTTATCCAAGCCATAAGCGATAGCAGCTGCAGTTGGTTCGTTGATAATACGCAGCACATTAAGGCCAGAAATAGTACCAGCATCCTTAGTAGCTTGTCGTTGAGAATCATTGAAGTAAGCTGGTACTGTGATGACTGCATTGGTTATAGTCTAGATTAAAAGACAGTGTTTTAGATATCTCAATTTCAATACACAAAAATTCAGCTTGTGGGAAAAAATTGCATAGTACCTTCCCCAGATAGGCCTCAGCAATCTCTTTCATTTTAGTTAATACCATGGATGACACTTCTTCTGGATAAAAGGTCTTCTTCTCAGCTTTATACTCAACTTCAACCTTTGGACGGCCACCATCATTGATAACACGGAATGGCCAGTGCTTCATGTCAGACTGAACAACAGAATCATCAAATCTGCGGCCAATAAGACGCTTAGCATCTGTTAAGAAAACAGATTAGTGTATCATAATCCAGTTTGACAACTGCAAATCTCACCTATAATTGCATACTAGGCCCAGTGAATCTTCCCCACCACACCACCAAGCAATGCTTTGTTAACTTTTGTTGATCACCACTACAGATCAGTTACTGGGATTTTGCAATATGGCTACTTCAGTGTATTAAACATGTATCAAATGTTTCAAAGGTCAGCTGTTTGTACATTTCATCTGTACATTGGTCAAGATGAATCATGACTACTCACATTTGCCTTTTAAGCTGGCTATTGTAGAATGGTCAAAAGCAGTAAGTTACAAACGCTTGAACTCACCAAAGACAGTGTTGGCTGGATTCATTGCCACCTGGTTCTTGGCCGCATCACCAATGAGCCTCTCTGTATCAGTGAAGGCAACGTAGCTCGGAGTGGTTCGGTTGCCTTGGTCATTGGCAATGATTTCAACCTTTCCATGCTGGAAGACACCTACACAGGAGTAGGTTGTCCCAAGATCAATACCAATTGCTGGTCCCTTAGACATGTCACCTGCAAGAAAGTGAGTAGGCACATAAAAACCTCACTATTTAGATGTTATCTCAGGCAACTGAGAACCTGATTAGACTTCAAGCAGTTTTATATCAAATAAGTGCTGCTGGCTTATCACCAATATTAATTCCAATCAGTAACTTATGTTGGAACATGACTAATAAACAACCACACCTTGATAGTTTCCTGTAGCTTGCCTGCCAGGACTGGCTGGCTGTATTGAACAGATCTGGAAACCATCTGTGAGAACACCAATAAGTATACCGAGGAGTGGTAAAACTTAGAAGCAAAAAAGTCTCCCTATCAGGACTGGTATCTAACCCTACTATCAATGATTAGAAAGGGCAAACGTTTTAGGATAAGCGTGCACAAAAAGCCTTTCCAGCTTGGAGGTGAGCTGGACTTAAAACGTTAACTCTATAATAAAAAAGTAATCTTGACAGCAAAAATATGTTTTCAGTTATCAAGAAGCAACCAGGCATACTGGGTGTTAAGACCTCTCTTCTGGTTGCACAAGATGAAGCCGTTTGACTGCAATCCCTTGCGACGAGCAACTTCCGGCAAACCTACACCTCCCCCAAAAGCACGTGTCCGAGCTCAGCACGTAGTCTATCAGGGTGGAGCCCCCAGCGGGAACAAAAACACTAGGGCCGAGGCTACAGCAATTTCACTTTCGCCAAGGCCGGCCGGCGCTGCCGACGTTTCTGGATCTTTCTGTGCGACAGGAGGGCCGCCAACACCACTGCGTGCCGCCCCTAGAGGCATCCAAGGCCTTAAGGGCCATGCAACCCCCACCACCCCCAAAGGAGGGAGGGTGGTCGCAATTCCATCCAGTTTGCTAGACGGAAAGAAGGGACCATTTGCTAGACGGAAAGAAGGGACCACGATCTCCTCACAGACGAAAGGATAAAAATATCCTATCTACTTCCCAAGGAGGGACGAAGGGAGTTGGCGAAATTAGTCACTGTACCCCGAACCGAGTCACGAAAAACAAATGGAAACGGAGAATAGAAAGAACACTAAGGCGCATTAAAATACAAACACGCAAGCTGACGCCGGGGGTTCAGGCTGGGCCTACCGCTTGTTCCGCGCGGAAATTTTCACGTGATTCCGGGCGCTATTGAGTATCAGTTTTTTTAAATTATTTCTTCTACACCCACTCCGACCTTTTACCTGCTGGTCAGTGCCCGGTTTTACACAAAAAGCTGTTGGCAGTGTCCGCAACGCCGCAATGAGAACGAACCGCGCCCAGACTCGCCTTTTAAAGTTCGCCGGAATGTTCTAGAAAGCGGACCGCGTCACCGCAACCGGCGGCCAATCAAATGCCTGTGTGAGGCCGGGTACGTCAACGAGTACGGCGGGAAGCCGTGCGAGGGCGCTGATTGGTGGAGATTCTGGGGATCCCCCCCCATTAACACAGCAAAACGTTTTGGACCTTTCTAGCACTTTCTATCATTACCTCATCTCTCCAACATCCGCATTGTTTGGTTGAAATGATCCTGCCATGAGAATACGAAGGGCCTCTTAACTGATACATTCCCTTGTAGCTTGTATCAGTGTGTAAATTCTTTCTCGTCAAATTTAGTAAATGTTCCAATTTTGCATGAGGCACCTAATTGTGCAAAATGTTCAAATGAAAAATGTAATTTTCTCTGCATTTCTGACTTGAATTATCCTGTAATGTAAAGTGTATTTTTGCAAACTTTTTTTGCTTTTAGTCATGTACGACTACTCCCATAAGACCAAACATTCATTACATATTAAAGTTATTTCCATTACTACAGAAAAAGTATTTGTTTTCTTTTAGGAAAAATGGTATGCTTTTGAACCCATCTCCATTGTATGTCAGATATTGTGCAGGTATTATTTTAAAATGAAGCCACAAAACACTAATCAAAACAGGATACCATCCAAGATTCTATAGTGACTTCCGACTTCACCAGTTCTATTCGGATCCGAAGTCGTCATACAAAACTCAAAATATTCTATCTGTACAGATGCTGCCAGACTGTTTGATTTTTTTCAGCATTTTGATTTTTTTTACTTAAGATTTCCAACCTTTGCAGTATTTTGTTTTTATCTAGCTTTTGTCAAGTTTTTCAGCCTCCTGGTTTACTCTCCATGTTTTCTGGGTCTTTATTGCAATATGTCCAATATTGTGAACTCTACTATACCTTTCAAATAGTTTATGAACTTTTCAATAAAAACCAAAAGAACTGCGGATGCTGTAAATCAGGAACAAAAACAAAGTTGCTGGAAAAGCTCAGCAGGTCTGGCAGCATCTGTGAAGGAGAAAACAGAGTTAATGTTTCAGGTCCGGTGACCCTTCCTCAGTTCTGAGGAAGGGTCACCGGACCCAAAACGTTAACTGAACTTTTCAAACCTCTCTTAACCCAACCATAACTTTGTCAGTGGCCCAACCTGACTCCAACCAATTTATGTCCTAAGTACCATAGTGAGATTAGGTCGACTTTTTCTACACATATCGTCTCCATTCAGTTTTCAGGGCATGTTTACATAATCTTGTGATGTTACCACAATTTACTGTCCACGTTTTGATTGATGTTCTGGATCACAATCCGTGATTTTTATTTCTGTTTTCCCCACGTCCTTGAAGTTATTGTCATTATAACCCTACGTTTGAACCTTTTGTCAGGTTTCAGTGTGTTTACAGCATTGAAATATCCCTAATCAAAGTCATAACTAACATCCAACATTACTGTGATAAATGACCCATTTATTATTCTTCCTCACGGATGTATGTTTGATAGTCGATCACATCATGTTCTTCCAATTTCACTCCTGCTGATACTGTACACTCCTGATAACAATCCTCCTGGTCCATTCTTGACCAAAGGATTTTCTGCACTATCACCTCTGAAATATTCCAAGAATTTATCCTTGGCCTGCTACTACTTCTGAGCTGCACAGCTTCTCAGCAATTTCAACAGAAAATGTGATGCCAAGTTCCACATGCTAACAACAGATAGCTGAACTCCCTCACCACCCACCACCTCACTTGATTGTCTGCTGTCTCCATCATGCTGATGGCTCAACTTCCAGTTCTGGATGAACACAATTTTCTTCAACATAATTGTTCTGGTCTGCACAAAATTGTCTTCCATCCATGGTTTTCATTCCCTCACCCCTGTCATTATCTAAGTCCATCCACAAACCTGGCATGCTATTTAATGCTAAGGTGAACTTCCACTTGCTCCATCACTAAGATTGCCTTCCTCAGACCACCTGCTGCCAAAATCCACTTCTTTTGTTGTCTTCAGACCTGCCTGTTCTGTGGCACCTTTGACCTGTCTTTCATGTTCCACTCTCCATAAACTCTTGCCTCAAAACTGCAACAAGTTTTGTTCACCTTACTAACTTTGGATCATGGCTGGCATCCTTGATTAGAAAATCCTCATCCTTGGTTTCACATTTGGTTTTACACCCCTCATCTCTTGAACTTCTAGTTCTACAATGCTGTTCAATACTTCACTCCTCCAGTTCTTCCTGTCCTCTTACTCTTGTTCATTCCAACACTGATAAACAGTTGAAGGGATGAATAGTTCCTTTCCTAGATCTCAACACCCTAGCTCCCTTAGATCTACCATAGAGCAGGGATTGGTTTTGGACAATTGGCTTGTGAAGTCGTGTGATGCCAACAGTGTGGGTTCAACTCCTGTGCTGGCTGAAGTTACCATGAAGGACTCTTCTTCTCAACTGTCGCCTTGCCTGAAGTATATTGGCCCTCAGCTAAAATCAGCACCAGCTGTCTCTCTCTCTCTAATGAGCCAGCAGCCCTGTGGTTTGCTAAGACTATGGCAACACAATACCACAGAATAAACTTTGAGCACTCGCCATAATTCCTGTGTCATTTAATACCAAATTTTAATGGATACTGTTCCAGTAAAGTATCATATTAAAGGCACTACAAAGATAAACCTTTTTTTTAATCCATTCTTAGGATGTTGCAGGCAAGCCTGCCATTTTTTGTCCACCCTTAACTGTGCCGGTGGTTAAAAGCATCTGAAAGGTTTGGTAAATGACTTCAGAGGAAAAGAGAGTAACCCCCATTGATATGACACCAGAATCACACATTGGCCACAGTGGGTAAAGGAAAGTATGTTTTTACCACCCCCGCTCTCGTCATGTACTCAAAGAGCATTAGTGAATGAGTAGGGCTTCCGCGACAATCTAGGAGGATCAAGGTCACCTTTAATACGTACCAGCTATTTATAATCCAGATAATTTATAGCCTCGAAATGCCACAATGACATATGAACTTGTATTCTCTGGATTTTTGTGAAAGCATCCAGATTCCTCAACCAGTAACAATGACCAATATACCGTAGCCCTTTATATTTGTAAAATGCTACCATCACCAGAAACATTTTTGCACAAACAGTACAGCATGTACAAGTTAGTATACTGAAAAATTATGCATTTGCCACTTTTAGTCACAAAGTAGACTATAGTTCACTGCTGGCAAGGTTTCCATTCCACTCTAATGCTTTCTGTTCTTAGGGTAGATAAATTGAATAACCACATTTAACTTTACTGGGCAAAAACATATTACACAGCTTTCATGATTTGCGTTGTCATTCCTAGGAGGTCATCATCGCCTTGTTTATATCTGAGCTGCCATTTTGGCGAATTTATCCAACTAGTCCTGCTTCAGTACTCCTTCCTCATAGTCCTACAATTTGTTTTCCCTTTAAGCATTTATCAAATCACTTTTTGAAATACATTGAATGCTTCCAACACCTTTTCAAGCAGTGCATTCCAGATTTTAACTGACTATATTATAAAAAGAGAGATTTTAGTTCTCCTGACAACTACCTTAAATCTGTGCCTGCTAAGCTTTCTGCCAATTGGAAGTTATGCTCTTATGCAATGTATAAATTCAAAATTATATCTCTTTTTGTTCTCCTCGGTTTTATCCCAAAGAGTTTAGATTCCCTGAGAAATTGCACCTCCTCTCCCCCATTGCCCCAGTACCAGTAGCCAAACATCTTAAAGATGAAAATGCAAAGCAGGAAAACATCTGCTAGCCTTTCATGATGCACAAAGCATTACAATGTAATATTTCCTCAAGCTGCTGGTTAAAACAAGCAATTAGCAAGCCAAATTGTACACTATTACAAACATTTGCAATTTTAGACCAAGCAAATGTCTTGGCAATTAAGGGTTTATGTAGGATCAAATCTGGCCAAGGAGATTTCCCTTGGAAGCAGTGGCAGGGCACTCAATGCAGTAGCACTGGATTCAACTTCTGAAATAAGCTAGCTTCAAAGCACCACATATTTCAGTTGAACAAACCCTGGACCCCTAAAAGAAAATTTGAACAAGTCATTCCGCATAGCTGCAAGGGTTCCATTCCTGAGGCCCCCTGCAAATGGTGAAATTTGCAAGAGCAGATCTCACTTAAACTTTAAAATGTTAGAAATCAGATAGATGGGTTTTGCCCATGGATGTTGAATATTGACACTTTTTGGCATGGTTAAGTAAATCAGATTTGTGATTTCATGGATACTGATAATTTACTGTGTTTGCTCATGGGACTTGGATGTCACTGGATAATTAATGCTGGACTAACCATTCTTAATTACCAAAAAGCCAGTTAAGTCAACCACATGGTGGAGGACTGGAGTCAGATGCAGGGCAGACTGGGTAAAGACAGACTTCCTTCTCTAGAAGAGCTTAAGTGAACTTTGATTTCTAGCAGTCAGATGTTAATCATGAGGTTGGCTTTTTATTGAATTTGAGTGAGACTGTTAGGAGATTATGGACCCATATATCTAGAACATAACCACAGCATTCTAGACTACTAACCCACTGATGCTACCACTATGCCAGTGGACAACTTCTAAAGTAGAAGTTTTACACGATATAGTGCCTGAGAAGATTGTAAACTCCCAAGTAGAACCAATGATCACAAGCTCTAAATACTGACCTCTAACCGAGATAAAGATGAGAAATTCCTTCACTTGGAGGTCGGCCTGAAAAATGTCTCTACATAGCTATGGCTGTGGATATTATGTATATTGAAGACAAAAGAAAGTGGGAGGAGAGTAACCTGTGGAAGATGTAAAATTCAAGTGGGTGAACCCATGTGAAGGTGTGTCTTAGTAGGTAAGGGGATGAGGAAACATTGCAGTCAACTGAACAAACAGCCCATGAGTTGCTAACATTAAGGATTTGTTAGAGAGGTGTGGAAAGGGGAGGCTGGGAGAATATTTGAAGAAAATTGGTGAAGTGAGTCAACTCAAGCTTACTTTCAGACCTCATCTTCTGTAGAAAGTAAAAGGCTCTCATCTTGCTCCTTACATGAAGGGATACACTTGGTGATAGTTGTAAAGCAAATGCAAAGTATGCTGAAGTCATTACTCCTTTAAGTGAGGAAACATCAGCCATTCTCACTAGTAATTAGATGCAACACAAAAGGTTGTGTTACAAAGAAGAGAGTAAGTGGGGCTCTGGTCAAGCCAAATTAACAGCTGCAAAAGCTAGTTACACAGTTAGAAAGCATCATATTAAATGACTTTGAGCTGAAAAGGGTTCAGGTGAAGTTCAGCTGTAGTTTTACAGAATTAAATAGTATTTAGAAAAACCCCTCCTGAGGAGATTGAAATCTAGGTTCCAACAGTTAGACACTTGCAATTCATTATTTGCTTGGTTTTAGGTAAAGGATATCAAAGATGACATTAATTATACATGGATTCATAAGGTGCAGTAGGTTTTATTATATTGACTAGAAAGAACATGCCCGGCACTCTTGTCTTGGAGAGAGATTGTCAAATTCTGCTGCAAGTATACCTGGATATTGGAGTACAGGATTCCATTTAGGTATAAAGCTCTTAAAGCCAGTTAACTGTCCAAATTCATGTGAGAAGTGATTACAAAGTATTAGAGGCTTTAAGCCTGGTGTACAATTTCAACTGTCATCTTTGACCAGATGAGATAAAAAGTTAGGAGTGAAGGAAAACAACTTTTGGTATATGTATTGCTCTTTTATTAGAAGACAAGTTTTGAACTGGAATTTAAGAAGCTTTTCAGTCTCCTGAAACTTTTACACCATGTTTAGTTACAGCATAGTACATTTTGCATTCTTATTTCACAATACATCAATAAATATCCACTTTCCAGTCTCACTGATTCTTACTGTACATTTTTTAGTCAACTTCTTCAATGGTTGGTCCAGAGGATCCACCTCCAGGAGCAGCACCAGTACCAGGAAAGCCTTCTGGCATCCCACCAGGCATGCCACCAGCACCCTGATACAATTTGCTGACAATCGGATTGCAGATCTTCTCTATTTCTTTCAGTTGATGTTCATATTCATCTTTTTCTGCAGTCTGCAAAGAAAACATTTCACAAGTCAGCATGAGTGCTAGTTATACACCAGTGCATGCCAATTAATTACTTGACATGATCAAAATTAGGCTTTCAAAAAGAAAGATTGAACCTCAACTCAAGAATTGAAGACAATTCTCCAGGAAGGATGGAAAAAAAAAAAAAAAAAAGTGTTTACAAGCAATCATTAGGCATGCTCTGGTTAATCCCTTGTTAAAATCCACCCTTAGCCTTTTGGTAAAGTGAAATTAAAATCAAAAAAAAAGTCTTAAAAACCAGGATAGATGCTGCACCACTTCAAGCTGCTTAGTTTGCACTATATAAAAACCAAAAGAACTGTGGTTGCTGTAATCAGGAACAAAAAGTTGCTGGAAAAGCTCAGCAGGTCTGGCACCATCTGTGAGGGAGAAAAGAGTTAACATTTTAGGTTTGAGGAAGGGTCACCAGACCAGAGACATTAACTCTTTTCCTTCAGATGCTGCCAGATCAGCTGAGCTTTTCCAGCAACTTTTGTAATTTTTGCACTCCTAGGTTTAGGCAATTCCTCGAGCCTGCTGCACTGTTGTGACAGCCCCTTACAATTTCAAAGAGGGAACTGACCTAGTGCATAAGCCACAAGGGATGTGATTTTCAAATATTGTAAAAACATTTCACTCCTAAGTGACCTAGTTGCTAATTTTAGTCTTATTTTCTGAAATCCACTGTACAAAGGTTTGTGTACATTTAACCAAAAAAAGGTATTGGAGACACCTCAATTCATACCAATTCCTCAACTCAAAGCAAGTTTATTCTGGAGACTAGCATTCTGGTAAACTTTTATTGTCTTCCTCCAAGAGGAAAACATTTGCCTGAAATTCAGTGCCAACAATAGACTACATTGGTTAGGCATCATGAGAAGCCATCAGTTTCCGTCGTATGAAAACATCACTACTAAACTACTTGATCCAAGAGGTTAATCTGCATGTGTTATCAGAAGCTTGGAGTTGGTTAACTCAGTTAGCTGGTTTGTGATGCAACATAACAGCAAGTTAAGCTCAAATTCTCAAGTTCATTTCTATTCAACATATGCATGTCCTGAATGGAGCAAACAAATTAGGTGCTTTGCTCTGTTCAACATTGACAATGGCAATAATGGAGCAAGGAAATAATCCAGCATTACCATAGAGCCAGACAACAAAACAGAACCTTTGGTCGAACTTGGACACCAAAATAGGTGTAATGGAAAATGAAGGTGGTTAACAGATAGGCCAATGGGCTGAAGAGTGACAGATGTAGTTTTACTGGATAAGTGTGACATGTTGATTGTTGGCAAGATAAACCAAGACAGGACTTGTTAGTGGTAGGGCCCTGGGGAGTGTTGCCAGTTACCTAAGCATACAGGTGCATAGCTCCTTCAAAGTGAAGTCAGACAGGGTGAAAGCAGACCTTGGCACATGTTCACTGTCTGACCAATGAGGGTGCAAGTTGGGATGCCACAGTAGTGTATGTATGGAATAAACTGCTAGAGGAAATGGAGGCCAGCAGGTACAATTACACTATTTAAGAGACATCTGAATGGGTACATGAATACAGGGTTGAGGGATATGGGCCATATGCTGGCAAATAGGACAGGTCAGATTGGGATGTCTGTTCATTTAGTGGTACTGGAGACAAATAGCTCAGTTAATGAGAAATTTGATAGCAAAGATGATCCACTTGAGACAATACTTTGTTCAAGTTTTAATAAGGTGTTCTATTAAATGATGTTGTTATCTGCACCAAGCTTGTGTTAATACCCAATTTTCCCTACATACTGGGAAGTACCAAAGGATTGGAATGGGAAGTGTGGCAATATCCATACTTAAGATGAAGTATTAAGTTATTCCAACTACAGATGGCCATCTTAACCTCAGGGATCAGAGATTTGAAAAGCATGCTCAGATGAGAAAAAGGAAAGCTGTTTGCATTTTACGAGGTTCAAGGAAACACAAGGGTTTTGCAGAAGAGAGTTAAGGGAATATTTAAAATATAGCAAGTAGGAATGTCAAATCTTTATTTGGGAGGTGGAAACAGCTGATCATGGCAGCAAGAAAAATTGGATGGACTCTAACTCACAGGTTGCAATCACTGAATTGGGGAAGAGTGGATTACTCTTGGGGAGCCAGCATACACTTGCTGGACAGAGTGGCCTCTGCAGTGAGGATTGTTAGGCTGATAACCATGCTTCAACAGGATTAGCTTCTGTCTTACGTTACCTGGTTTTTATCCAGCCAGCTAATGACCTCATTACATTTGTCCAAAACTTTCTGTTTGTCATCATCACTTATTTTGCCCTTGAGTTTTTCATCCTCAATGGTAGCCTTCATGTTGAAAGCATAGGATTCTAGAGAATTCTTGGATGCAACTTTGTCACGCTGTTGTTCATCCTCTGCTTTGTATTTCTCAGCTTCCTGGACCATACGTTCAATGTCTTCTTTACTCAAGCGACCTGTTGAGATAACCAGGATGTTATTTGCATCATTTTTATACATGATTTACATTTAATCCCCATTTATATCCAGCTATAGTATGCCAAGCACCATAGAATGTGAAATTCTGCAGAAAAATAAAAGTTAATTCTGAGAGACTTGAGTTTCCAGAAATAACTGGAACAAGTCAGTGATCAGTGACAAAAGGCAACTACATTTTAGCAACCGTCACCTGCAGCACAGATGATATTCTTGTGCTCATTGCTGTCAATGGGATTTTACAGTTTGGAAAAGAAAAGATTCTTAATGGGTATAGTTTAGCAAACTTTAGTTCATATCAGAAAGGTATTTGATTCCAAGCAAGCTTACATCTAGATATGAGTAATAAGACTTCCTCTGAACTGCAAGGAAGTGCTCAATGCAGTTTGAGGAGATGCAACACTGAAATGTTAAGTTCACCGTGCAGTGAATCACCTTTGTCATTTGTGATGGTGATCTTGTTTTCCTTTCCAGTGCTCTTGTCCACTGCAGACACATTCAAGATACCATTGGCATCAATATCAAACGTCACCTCAATTTGAGGCACACCCCGTGGAGCAGGTGGAATTCCAGTCAGCTCAAACTTGCCCAGCAAATTGTTATCCTTAGTCATAGCTCTCTCACCCTCGAACACCTAAATTAAAAAGATCAGTTATAGATACATTCACACAAGCATCTTCTAGAATGCACATACATTGTACATGAATCCTTCCTTTAATTCAACAGCTAAAGTAGTGACCCACAGCCAAAGGAGGTTATTGACTAGTGCATTTGCAAGACAAAGAAATAAGTCCTGTTTGTTTAGTACAACATTGGAATGTTTAGTTAATTCCTTAATGCTGTCCCAAAATGGAAATCAACCTTCTTTAGGTCCCAGTGTAAAAGCATGTCTCCAGGCACATTCTGCTCAGTTTCACAGCAGGCTTTTAAATTTGGCGCCATCATTCAAATTGGGAATGGACAACCCAGCTTTTAGTTAGTAATCTCACCAGGACGGTTTGTAGTGCAGCTGAGACTAGACGAGGACAATGTCATGTTAGTGATTTGGAGGAAGGAGTGAACATACTGTAGCTAAAATTTTCAGAAAAGGTGGAATGAACATCCAAGATATTGATAGGTTAACTGGACAAAATGCTGGCAGATGGAGTATATTGAGAAGTGTGAAATCCAATTCAGTTTGCAAAGAACAGACTATTTAAGTGGAGAGAACTACAGAAAGCTGCAACAGGAAAAAAAAAGACTTCAGGATACTCATGTACAAAAGCGAGCACACGGATGGGAGCAGGTAATTAGAAAGTCTAATGGAATATTGGCCCTTATTTCAAGGGGGTTGGAGTACAAGAATGGGGCAAATCTTACAACCACAAGACGTGCAGGTGAGGCCAGATCTGGAGCACTGTATGCAATTTTAGTCCCTGAAGATATTACCTCATTGGAAGCAGTTCAGAGAAGGTTCACTAGGCTAATGCCTGTCATAGAGGGATTGTTGTTGAGTGAAACAGGCTGGCACTCAATGCAGTTCAGAAGGTGGCAGTGCCATTGAGACAGCGATTCCTCTGACTACAAGCATTCTGTTCAAGAACCCCCTTCAGTCATGAAAGTCATGACTGTGGAGCTTGTTAAAAATCAGATTTAACAGATTTGTATTTTTGGTGCAGATAGGTGAATGTGACTTCACAGATACAGAAGATTTAGGATAGAATTCTTAAGGGGCTTGGACAGAGATGCTGCAGGAATGTTTTCCCTTATGGGATAGTCTAGGATCAGTGGCTCGATAAAATGGGTTGCAATGAGACTGAGAAATTTGATAGTTTAATGTCTTTGGGAGTCCATGCCATAGACAGCTGTGAATGCAGAGTCCTTGTGCATTATTAAGACCAAGAGATTGCTGATTAATAGGGGAAGAGGGTTACACATTACAGGGAAAATGCAGGAAAGTGGATGAGCAATGTCAGATCAGCCATGATCTTATCAAATGCTGGAGCAGGCTGAAGGGACTGAAGAGTCTACTTCTGTTCCACCTTACGGTCTAAGTAGACCAGCTGTAATGTTGGCACACTTGTGATTAGTGTGGTAAGTGAATGCCTAAGTTGTGCAACTAAATTAATACCAAAAAGCTTGATGACTGATCTGAAACTCAATTGAAGTTGGTTGTGGTAGGAAAAAAAAACTGCCCCAGTATCAGATAAAAACCTCATTCTGCTCCACTTTCAAAACCATCCCACTGCCCACCTAGTCATTCGCTGAGTCAGATGTGCAGCAATGGAAGCTAACCAAACCCTTTGGTCCAACATGTTTGTGCCAACCAGATATCCTCAATTAATCTGGCCCATATCACTGACCTCTGCAGGTGCCTGTTAAACATTGTATTTCTACCAGCCTCCACTGCTTCCTCTGGCAGCTCAATCCATGAACACACCACCCTCAGTGTGAAAAAAGTGCCCCTTTAGGTCCCTTCAAGTCTTTGCCCTCTAGTTTTGGACTCCCTACCCCAGAAAAAGACTATTTACCATATCCATGCCCCTCGATTTTAAAAACCTCCAGAAGGTCACCCTCAGCCTTCCAATGTTCTAGGGAGGCTAGCCCCAGTCTATTCAGGCTCTCCCGATAGCTCGAACCCACCAACTCTGGCAACATCTTTTTAAAACTCTTGTGAACCATTAAGTTTCACAACATCTTTTCTGCAGCAGGGAGACCAGAACTGAAAGTACTCCAAAGTGGCCTAACCAGTGTCTTGTACCTCCCAACCCCTATATTGAATGCACTGACCAATAAAGGCAAGCATTACTAAACACCACCCTGTCTACCTGTGACTAATTTCAAGGAACTATAACCCTGCACTCCAGCATCTCCATTCAGCAACACTCCTCAGGATCTTACTGTTGTACAAGTCCTGCCCTGATTTGTCCTATCAAAACATAGCACCCCATTTTTCTAGATTAAACTCCAACCAACACTCCTCAGCCTATTGGATCAAGGTCCTGTTGTATTGAGGTAACCCCCTTTGCTGTTTACACCACCAGTTTTGGTGTCAACTGCAAACTTAGTAGCCATATTTCCTACAATCATATCTAAATCACAGTAAACTAATATTTCTGTATATTCTGATCCCATGGGAATCACCCCAAAATACTCACCTTACTTTTGTTAAGAGAACTGACACTTATTCCACCCACCTTCCTTCACCTCAATATAAAAGTTTTAAACCCATCTGAGTCTTAACATTTGCTCCACCTGCCTCTTAAAACCCACCTCTTCAAATAGGTGGTTTGTCAGTCATCTCTACTTCACTCCCCTACCCATTTGCTTATGTTATTCTAAGCACCTTGTATTGAGAACACAATAGACATTTATGCACAAGAGTTTAGAAATAGTCACAGCAATCCTTATACATTTTTAAAACCATTGCATTCCTACCTGGATGAGCACACCAGGCTGGTTGTCAGAGTAAGTGGTGAATGTCTGCGTTTGCTTTGTTGGAATCGTGGTATTCCGTTTGATTAGGGCAGTCATTACACCACCAGCTGTCTCAATGCCCAGTGACAAGGGTGTTACATCCAGTAATAGCAGATCCTGCACATTCTCCGATTTGTCACCAGCTAAGATAGCAGCCTGCACAGCTGAAGACATTGCCATTAAATGGAAAATAGTTCCAAAGTAGATGCTCTAGACAAGAATATTGCTTCATAATTTGGAAGACAATACAACTATTTTATAGTAAAAAGGGAGATCTGTACTAACAGGCCTCCCCATTATACCAAGGCATTAAAGAAAGATGATTAAAAGATAAAGTACTAAATCTAAAGAGACTAATGAACTCCTAACATTTATACAATTAGGTTTTATTGCCACATGTACTCAAGTACAGAGGTGAGTACAGTGAAAGTATACAATGTTGCCATTCCCAGCACTTTGTACTAGGTACCTTTCTATCTAGTAGAAAATAGAAAGCAAAATTCAAGTTAAACATTAGTCATTAGTATAAAGAGAAAATAAATAAAGTTAAAATGTCATCACTTTCATTAGTGCAGGCTAACCCAAGCAATATTTTAAACTGAAGCAGTAAATATTTTCAAAAATAAAGTAGGTTACCTGCACCATATGCAACAGCTTCATCAGGGTTAATACTCTTAT